AGTTATGTTCTAAGAGTTGCTTAGAACAATTTAGAGTTGCTTTTTGTACTACTGTAGCTTTGAAAGATAACAGGGAGAAAGGGGAATAAATAAATGGCTTGTTTCTATAATTTTGAATTAGGTTTTAACAGCCTGTGTCAACTTTAGTGTTCATATACTATAAATATAAAGTTGGTTCAATGCATCTTTATTTTGCATTGCAATCATTCTTCTAAGGCTTGCATTCAGCTTTGTGTGTGATACATGTAGTGTATAGAATAAAGTGGGAGATGTTGTGTGGGTGTCTAAGTATCTGGAAAGTCTTACCTTTTTTATGACTCATGAACAATGCCATATTGAAAGCAAAAGGTGTACTGACTGTGTCAGGGTTCTTTGCACATCTTTTGGACTGTAAACAATTGTTTTATACAGTTGGTGCAATAGATTAGAAAAAGGCTGTAACTAGCACATTTCTGAAGAAAGTGTGGTCCTTCATGTGTTGCCAGACTCAAATCCTGTCAGCCCACATGGCCAATGTGAGGAATGATGGGAGCTGTAATCTAGGAACAACCGGAGGGCCACAGGTTATGTTGCAGGAAATCAGTGGGCATTCAAAACCTAGCATTTCTAAAACTTGCTTTGTCCCATAAGGACAAGGCATTCACATGCTCAATTTATCCAGTTTGTTCCAGTCCACGTAAAAATGGATATGTCTGTGTGGTTGCTAGGTCAGTCTGAGCTTGGAGCAGTTCCAGCGAAGCCATCTTTGCTCAGTAGGCATCAGGAGAGAGATAGAGGAAGTGGAATTAAAGAAGGCAGCTCTTAATCTCACCCGCTTTCTGTATGAGCAAAGTAGTGTGTACTTCTCACCATAGACTGCAATGTGAACCAGCCATTTTCCAAGAAAAGGGTAGGGCTTATGAAATTCAAACTCAGGAATTTTGTACTAAGAACAGGTTTCCATTCCCAGGCTGATGTGGTGTGACACTGGAGGATGACATGTTGAGAACGGCAGTGCTAGAAAAGATAGGCTATGTTTCGACTTCAGTCTGAAACATCCTATTCATCAAACAGCAATATCTAGTAATTTTAAATGTATATGTATTTTTCATATATTCCATGCATGTGCCAGAAAAAGAAACTTGGCACTTTTTAGCAGCTATTATAGCTATTGTAGCTATTACAATGCACGTTGTTCAGAGTTTTACCTCTCTCCTTCCCTTGTGTTACAGAACTCAGGGTAAATTGGATAACCATGGAGGCTGGTTATGCAAGCTTATGCACACGCATCAACAATTGCCACCAGCAGCTGTTTTTTTATTTCCAGTCTTCAATCTTGAATTCCTGCTGCTCTGAGTGGGGAAAAGAACCTGGAGTAGGTGTTAGGACCAAAATTAAGAAGGCTCAGTCTTTGTTCACACTACACAGTCAATGACTGCCCTCTAATATACTTGGGCTGTCAAGCAAGGCTCATGTTCGACCCATACTAAACAAATCCAAACTAAAACTAAAAAACAATTGAGTGATCGAGTAAGGATGAAAACATTAATTTTGCAGAATAGTAATCAAGTGTGTGCAGAGCTGACAAAAAGATATGCTTCCTTCTAGAGGAGACTGACAATTAGTTCTTTCCAGCACTCATTTCATATCCTGGCATGCCCTGGAGCACAATGCCTTAAGTGAACTCCCTCCTTGAGTGGATTCTTCCCCTCCTCGGTTCTGTTCCTGCTACTGTTCGCTTATCCTCTCCCTGTGGACTTGATTTGTATCATCGCTCAGAGAAAGAATGCAAGGCGAGTGAAAGTAGTTTAATAAAGTACCATGACAGATCACATCAAGACTCATTCTACCCACTGAACATGCTACAGATTTGCCGGCAGTCCTGGACATTTGTTCTAAGATGAGGATTGCACTGAATATTTTCTTAGTGATAAAAAAATGAAAATGCTATACTTAATTTCTCAACATAAACTATATTTTCCTTTCTTATGTAAGGGTGGGAAATAAGGCCTTCCACCTGCCGTTAAAGATGGCTTGACATTTGCTTGCTGGAGTAAATTGACTTTCATACTGTTAGAGTTTTAAAATGTTCTTTATGCTGCTGCTTTTTATAGAAATCTGCATTCCCGGTGCTGCAGGAGCAGTCCTAATTGTGCTGGTGTTGTTCAGAGTACTCTGTGTTCTTCCATGAAACAAAGTAGCATATGGTCTCCCTTCCTGCATTTTAAATAACCATAAGAATAAATATTAAGGGATGGTTTTCCCACCACCTGCTTTGGTGACTGTTATCTCTGAATGCTCTGAGTCATGTGGTGGAACAGATGAGTGAGATCTTGCACACAGATGACATTCTGCTGTTGCTTCTTGGTAGAATGTCTAGAAACATTTTCAACACAATCTTTTTCTACTGAACACGTTAGATAAAACATGAAAATAGATATTAAATAATCGATAGAAACTGGAATATCTATGCTTGAGGTCATTGTTGGAAGATGTCCTTCAGTTGCCTTTACCTATGGAGGCAAGATGGTGGTGGCCAGAAAGAGGCCCTCTTCTGTGATTGTGCTGTAATATGTAGATCTCCCTTCTAAGGCAGATCCACCTGGTGCCTTCATTGCTGTCTCTTTAGGTGCCAGGCAGTGTCAGTGCCATTTAGGCTTTGGCATGGTATGCCTTATTTCCCTATGCTGCTGGGCTACTTTGGACTAAATATGGTTTACAGGTTGCTTTACTAAGTGCTGTGTTTATTTCTGTACTCGTCGTGTATTTAATTCTGTTAGCTGTTCTCACTCACAACTTTGTCATGAATTTTGTTAAGCCACCGTGAATACCATTTGTCAGAAATATGTCTATGGGCCTTTTAAATAAAATGAATTTGCAGACATCAGAGTGATTGAACATTTGTATCTGCTGGATGACTGCTGCGTTCATTGCTACTTGGAGGCCGAAACTGGATTAGAATGTGTTTGAGAGCCAGTATATTCTGGTTGATACAAGTGCTGGATTGTCACAGAGTACAAGTCATTAATGAGTCATAGACTTGCTGGATGGCTTTTGCTAGGCATTGTTTCAAATGTGAATGAAAAGTGCCTTACAAATTATGATGCATTGAAGGAGATTGTTCAAATAGGCTTGCAAATCTTATACAAATGGATGTTTGAATAAGAATCTTTCTCTTTAACCCCCATAGCCACCCAATTCTCTTCAACACAAGTCTTTTTAAAACCACACATGAAGTGCTTCTACTGCTTTTTGGATCTCCAGTGCAATTCTATAAATGACTGTTCTTCTCACTGAATTCAATGAGGCTCACTCCATATAAGATGGTATAGGATTGCAGCCTAAATATCCATGTGTTGACTTGGCTGACTGTTATTGAAACAATAAATTAATAGTACAGGAGTCTGTAATTTTGGTGCAGAAGCTTCTGAGCCCAGAGTCTTAGTGGTTCTGTGAACTAACCTTTCTTATGACTTAACCCATGTAAAGTTGAATGTGAAAATGGGGTATGTCTGCACTTCTAGACACCACCAAGTGCTTTCCTTGTATTTTTCAATGTATCTGGAAGTGTGGACTTTCCAGGCCATGGAAGCTTATACCATAAAATATGTGTTATAAATCTCTTTTCCCCCCTCGGTGTATCTGTCTAGCATCCTTGTGCTTCATAATCACATAAGATGCCTCCTCTAAGCATATTCGGGAGAGAATGTTCTTCATTAAACTGAGAAGTTGCCTCATCTCTTTTGGATGCAGCCATTAAGGTATTTGGAGTGAGGGATCATCTGTACAGAGATGATGCCCAGTCTGAGTTTCTTTTACATCTGAGTCAGGTGTGGTGGAGCATGACCTGTGCTGGTGTCTGCATGCAGGACTGGCCTGGATGGAGCCCAGCCAACCGAAAAGGCACTCTGGAGGTTCTGTGAGAGGGTACTTTCTGGGTCTGGGAATTAGAAGTGTACCTGTCCAGGATGACATAGTTCCATGCAGCCTCCCAGGCCATTCTAGCAGTGCTTGCTGTCCCTGCTTAATCTGCCACTGGTATAGCAAGTAAAGTGGAAATTTGGAAGAAAGGCATGCTGGGACCATGCATCTTGTCTGAAGGCAGAATTGGACTCCTTATATACCTTGTTCTCTTCTTGGGTTAGGATCTGTCACCAGGGCCCAGTTTCAGCACTATGACTATTATGACCAATATTGCACAGGATTGGGCTGGCTAGGATGATCCATGGATCAGTAACCTCAGGACTGGAGTACTGAATGCAGTTTATTTGAGGCTGCCCTTGAGATTAGTTTGAAAATTATAGTTAGAGTAAATTGAGGATTCCAGATTGTGCAGAGGTGCTTATATGACTCCTGTACTGAAAGCTCTGCGCTCTCTCCCAGTTAGCTATTGAACCGTTCTCAAGTGTCCTTTCTGGTTTATAAGGATGCAAACAACTCTGGGCCAAGAGACTGCCTCCTTCTGCAAATTCCACCCCAGTCCTGACTTCCTGAGAAGGATCATGCATATCCTGCAATAACTTACTGATGTTTGCTTGGCTGCAGGGTAGAGGAAGATTGTCTCTTCTACGGAGCCAGCAACCATGTGGAATGAGGTCCCCACTGAGACTAGCTGGCTATGAGTCTAGAATGCTTCCATCGCCAGCTAAAGATCCATCCGCTTGCCTGGTTAATTTCTTAACTATCAGTCACCCTTGGTTATTTTAAGTGGACATTTTATAGCCTATTGCCTTTGTTGTATTTTATTATAATTTTCCTTTGTGTGTTTCATCTCTGTTCTTTTTAATAGAAAGCAGCAAGTAGGGTTTTTTTTAATGAATAAACAAATGCAAAAGTAAACCTTAGGAAAAATAGACTTTCCTTTTGTATGCATTTTCGGTATCAAAGACCCTGCATTTTTAGCTCACCATTTCTGCTGTTCAGTTATCATTCCTTTAAGATTTAAACTTTTTGAAAGGTTTATATTTACACTGAAACTATTTTAGGACATCTCACCCTCACCCCCACCCCCAGTAGGGTTCTTCTCTAACCACCTGCTACTCTCTTTACAATTTGCACATAGGTTTCTATACAGAAGTTGCCTGTGGTGTTTTGGCATGCAAACTTCTATTCAGAAAACATAAACATGGTGTTATGTTCCCACTGTGAGGTAGTAAAAAAGTTCCAACTGCTAGAAAAGCCTTTAGTTTTCAATGGACCTCATCTTGAATAAATTGCAGGACATGAACCTGTTCATGCTTAACTTTAATATTCTAGTCACAGGTCCTGGAAACCCATTATGGGGTTTCAGGTTTTCGTTTTGTGGAGAAAGGAAGAAACATGAAAGTGGAGAAGCAACTAGACAGTGAGAAGAAAAATGAAGTAACAAAAACAGCTAAGATAAAGGTTGTGAAAAAGATGAAAGAAGGACAAGTGGTTGTGCTGAAGTTGGCACTACAGACCGACTTGACCACCTAGTTGCCTGTGAACAAATATTGTTAAATATTCTGCAGCGAAATGATGCTGCTGATGGTTGGAGACTTGGGCTGCTTTCTGGCATACCTGCCTTTAAAAACTGAGTAGTTCTTTTCAATAAATTATAGCCTTATCTTTTTGCTGTAGACTTTAAAAAAAGCATGACAGTAAACCAATCCTAGTGTTCTGTAATAAAAGCAGATTTAAGGAACTGTTAAGTAAAACATTTATAGTCAGATGTATCTCTTCAGGTATGAAACTGACAGCATGCATTTCTCTCTCTTTCTGTCTTTCCAGCAGTTTCTGCATTCCTGATAGGTTAGAATAACAGCAACATAATTGTTTGTGAACCCTGATTTAAAACAATTAAGTACTACTGAGAATATGCAGTTTTATATTTTAAACTCATTTCACTATAGCACCACCCTGATTACAAGAATGGAATGTATTTTCCTTTGGTTGTCTTTGTTACCTGCTACTGTCTGGAAAGGTTCACAAAACACAACAAGCCACAGTAGTTTCTTGTGCAGGATGATCTGTTGTGTCATCCAAACCCCTTAAAGGCATTTCTGCATGTTCCCTTTGGTTTTTAGAAACCACAATAAGAAACAACACTCTGTTTTCTGGTTCCCACACTTTACCATGGATTCTCTGGTAGTCCAGTCCTGGCATTATGGCTTCCATAATCCTGGTACACAGCTACCACAGCGTTCACTGGAAGGAACACTAACTGCAGGAGCTGCTCCAGCCAGCCTGTGTGGGATTGGATTTCAGGCATAGTGGCTGATGGGATATATGCCAATGCCAGGAAGACTGAGCAAGGAAGGTGGAAACCATGCTAGTGTAGAGGCCATCCTGAGCTTGGCCCTTCCCTTTCTGCCTTTAGGCTTCAAAACACTGGGACCATCTCTTTGCAATGGAGATTTTAATTGACACTTTGCTGCAGCAAGACAAAGTAACTTTAAAAACCCTCTAGTGAGTTGGAAGACAAGCCTCTGGTAATGCCAAGAGTGTTGAACCCAAACTGGGAACTTCTTCCCAAAATCCTTTCCTTTCAGTAACTCTGCGGGCCCCACCCTCATGGTGGACCCTGCTGCTGAAGAGCCAGCAGATGAGATCTACGCAGGTCCTCTAATTGGGCAGCTTATCTCTTTTGATGCCTCATCATGATATCAAGGACCAGGAAGGGCAATGCCTCTCCCTCCTTCCCTTTTGGATCCTCCCCTCTCTTCCAAAGCATCTCTGCTCTCCTGGCCAACCTGGGAACCTGTGGGCAACAACCTTGAAGGCACTGCAAAGGCCTCTCCCTTTTCCTGAGTTTCCACAACTTCTGTCATCAAATCTTCAAAGTCGTTGTCTTCTTCACCTTTATGATGACCCTTGGATGCCCATCCAGGGTGGAGGTCTAGTTAACTCAGTACATAAACCACTTATCTGTCAGGCATATCCAGACAAAAGACCCTGCATCATGAAAACCATGCAGGGTTGCTTGTCATGATGTGTGAACCTAGCCTCTTGTGTATTCATTTAGGGAATCTTGGACTTTGGCTCTGAAGACCAGTCTTAGCCACCCTACTGTTTACAGAAACCTTGCCTGGCATGGTCAAAATTAATATCATTAGCTTCAGTGTTTCACGCATAAATAAGATGCACTTTTCCACTCAGCATAACCTGCTGTTGTGAATCTTTTGGTCTCCTTTGAACCTGATGAGCCCCAGTCTCTCTTGTCTTGGAGTTGTGAAGAACCACATCTCCACAGCTCTGCTGCAGGTCTGAGATGCCCCAAGTACTCAGAATGTCTCGAGTTTCCTTCAAGCTTGGAGTTTTGATCGATGATTCCCCCAGTAGTTGCATGGTACTTCAGAGTTAACTCTACCAATTGCCAGTCTCCTCTAAAGCCCCAAAGTTTTATTTGGTAGAAGAGCAGAGGGTTGTAAACTTGTTTCTTGGTTAGGGTGCAAGTAAATACTCCACAGCCCAGGATTTAAAAATTTCAGATGTGGTAAGAATATTTAAAATGAAGGAGTTTAGAAATCCTAACTCCTTTCAAATATGTCCTGAACTGCAGTATGCTGTCAACTGGAATACTCCAAATTGCTCCAAATTAGAAAATGTGGCCCATAGATACTAAGCACCATGTTTCAAGTCATGCTCCACCAATATTTTCTTAGGGATGGCCTTTGCAATTTTTTTCAGCAAAACAGCCACTGAATTTCATATATGCATATATTCCCTATGTGCATTAAAGCAATCAAATCCACACCACTAAGAAATTCTGTCCAAGGCAGTATTAAATAGACAGTCTTTGGAGTACAAACAGCTGGTATGCAATCTGATCGCTACATTAGTAGCAGAATGCAAAACTGCTGGGATGTAGTCTAGAGCAAAATGAAGCCCATTAGATACACTATTCTAGTTCATCTTTTCACTCCTGCTGCATGCTTCTACCAGAAGCAGAGTGATTTTCCATGTGTCTTGAACAGACTATACCAACTTCTGGATGTGTTCCGGTTTTTGCTTGCTTTGTTTTTTGCTCAAGGTCTTGTCCTTCAACATTTTTTATTCTTATGAATCTTCTAGTTGTTGAAAAGAAATTGGAAATAGTTTGATTTCTTTAGACGTTTGTATTTAATCGTATTCTCAGAATGAATGAATGTATTTGATTATTCCCTTCCATTTCAAGTTAAAAGGTTTTCAAGGAGGCTTACATAAGAGTAAAAAAGTGAAAGTATTTTTTTAAATGAACTCTGCACTATTAAAAAGGGAGAGCAACAGAAAAGTTGTAGAACAGGATCTCAGCCAACACAGAGGAAGTAAGACTTATTTATTAAATAAGCCTTGTGCTATGAAGACTCATTTTACAACTAAATATGGTAAAGGAGGGCAGTTGTACCTACAGAAGGAGTTCTACAGCCATGGTGCCACAATGGGAAAAGATACTATACCTGTCCCATGAGATCTTAACAATTGAGGCTAATCCCTGTCTTAAGACTTATGTAGCTTCATACAGTTACTTTTCCCTAATCTGATCCCCTTCAGAAGTCTTGGACTACACTTCCCAGCATTCCTGATCATTAGTCATTAGATGGATGAGAGTTAGAAGTGTTAAGGACCAAAGCATTTGGCTCGGGAAGGCTAATGTGAGCAATAGTCCTAAGTCATTTAAGTCTTTAACCATCAATTAAGAAATTGACAAATATAATTTACAGAAATAACATTAATACACACATTCCCAATATAGTTATTTAAATAATATTCTGTTTCAGAAGCCTGTGGAGCCATTTCTAATAATTAACACTAACCTTTCCCAAATTGCACAGAGTCTGGCTAACAGAAAGAAGAATCCAATCCACCATGTGTACCCAGGGGCTTTTTAAGCTTCTCTTGCAATGGAAACTCTCTGTGCATCTCCCCACAAACCATCCCTGAAGGTGGCAAAACTTTCTGGAGCTCCTTATGGCCGCCTTCATCTACTTCCTTGAACTTTTTTTGGATCTTGGCCAAAATGTACATAAGTATTATGAGTGCAAAATTGACTTTGGAAAGCTACTATGTATCTTCCGCTCCATTATTGAAGGACTCCAAAGAATTCTAATAGTATCTCTCCAAACTTGGTGAATCAGCAATAGCAAATACAGTAAATAAATGTATAAACATGCACAGTGAGACCAAAAATAAACATATGTTGATGAGGTATAAGCTGGTAGTGACTGGTCTTTTATTGGATAGCTTGATGAAAACATTGGCCCAGTATGTGACACCTATGGAAAAGGTTTCTATAAGATTCTATATTAGGGATTCCTAGGAAAAAATCTGTAAATTAAATGGTCAGTGTTATAATGCCTTTATGCAAATCTTTTTTGTGACTAAATTACTTTGTACAGACCTGGTAACCATACCATGAAGTGGTATTGTGAAACTGGCATGGGTGCAGAAAAGGGTAACCAAAATGATTCAGAGACTAGAGCAACTGTCCTACCAATGGACTGTGTTTTGTCTTAGTGAAAAAGAGTAAGAGAGGGAATATGACTGTGGTTTATAAAATTTCATATAGTGTGGAGAAATATTTTTTTTCTTCTCATAATGCTGGAACCCAGTATCACAGAAACATAGAAACAGAGCAAGTCAGGAAGGGTCTCCCGGGCCATTTAGTCTGACCCCCCGGCTGCAGCCGGCTCTGCTCATGACATGCCTGCCTATCATCTAGTGAAGCTTCATGGTGGGACACTCAGGAAGGACATACAAAAGGGAGGACTTCTTCACAGGCCTGTAGCTAAAGGATGGAGTCTGCTTCTCCAGCTGTGCTGGTGTCTACCAACTGAGATGGCATTAAAAGGCAATTAGGCAAATGGTGGTATCAATGGCTAGTGTTCATATAGGTATGCCTCAGAATACTGATTTCTGGAGAAGAAAAGGGCAGTTATTGCCCTCATGTCTTATTGGTAGACATCTGGTTGTCCACTGTGGAAGGAGCAGGACTAGAAAGCCCCTTGGTCTAATCCAGCCAGGCTTTTCTAAATTATGGATGGTGGCATCTGCAATAGACTCTCTCCCAAGCTTTCTAATTCCTAAGTGCTATTGGCCTTTCTCATAACTTAAAGATCACACTATCGCTTTTCTTTCCTTATATCAGAGGTGAAAATAAATATAATTGGAATGAAAAGCATTCAGGGAAGCCTTGTAATATTTCCTGAATGATGCTATTGTACAGTGACTGTGACAGTAAGAAAGCTGTCAAAGATACTGAATATTTGCCCCAAGCCATGCAGGGTATCAGAGCCAGAAGGAGGGCCAGTGCTTCCTGTTTTCGTGCCCTGTGCTTCTGCTGTACAGCCTTGAGTGATTCTGACATATTCATAGCAGTGCTTCGTTTGCTTTTAAGGAAGCAAAAGAAGCACAGTGCCATCTTTCTTTATGGCACTATGACTTACCTTCCCATTTCATGTTTCAAGTTTTTTCTGTTTCTGAATATAAAGCTCTGAATGACAGAGCTTCCTGGCATTTCAACAATGCGGCAGGTTAAGAGCAGGAGGGTATTCTTGGTATTTTATCTGCATTTCTGTGTATACTTCTTGGTGGCACTTTGTCACAGGCTAATTACATATCTTCTGTACACATGCATTGGGAAAAATGTGATTATTTCCCAGTGGAATAAATTTCTGTTAGAATCATGGATCCTTTTTGGATCCTAAATGTTATTGTTTTCCTGTTTGCAGTATTTTATCATTGACTGGCACCATTGGAGGAGGGTTTCATGGGGTTGAAGAAGATACAAGAACAAGCCGGAATGTGACTTCACATATTAAGCTGCTGCACATAAACATGCTTAATTTGTATTCAGTTACGTTAAGCAGAGTGCAGGAGTCAAGTATATTGATAGGTATGTTGTGTTTGCTGGATCAAAATGTCTATCTTTCTGAAACAACGATCTTCAAGGGAGAGTGTGCAACATACAAATCCCCTGGGTTAGTATTTAGCATACTTACAGTCACTGTTCCTCCTAATTGGTGTGCAACTCAGTAAGGAACTTTTTTCCTCCTCTCATGGTATCTACTCCTTTCGTTCTGATTTCATGTACCAAGATGAAATTAGTTCATGATGGACTCAGAACAGTTTTTAGGACTCTGCTGGGCAGATTCTGTTCCTTAGTATTCCTTCAAAATGATGTATAAAGCTTTTTGGTTTGGCAAAAAGTGCCCACCCATCAAAATACTTCAGATAGAGGGGTGGTGTTTAGATTGAGTATTCCAATTTATATGCATTGGGTAAGGAGTTTTGTAGAATTTTTAATAAAATCATCACCTGACTTCTCAGTGAAATGTATGAATTTTAGATTAGTATTTCTCTGGATAAATGAATCACAGCAGTTTTGCACTTCCTAATAAAGCAAGATGGAGTAAAATATATATTGACTCTTTATACATTCATGACATCATCTGGTGCATTCCTTAGCATACAGCAATTTCTATAATAATGTTTAAGGGAACAAGAACATGTAAAACCTGCTCTAACTACTGTCATTAATTGTTGCACAGATCTATTGGCAGGGCTTTGTGTGTTATTTTCTTTTTTTAAGTAACACCCTGTATCCAGGCAATCCAAACTCTTGCAAAAGAGAAGGTTCAGCAGATGGGGTTTCACAATAAATTATAGCCCAAAAGGTTTATTGTACACTTATATTGTATAGAAAAATGGCAGCCACTGAATGCACAGGATCCTGAAGAAAGATCCAGTTGGTTTTTATGGGTCCAACACATCTTTCCCCAGGTTGGTGCCCTTCACATGTGCTGAGCATTAGCTCCATCAGGAATTCTGGGGCTTGTAGCCCAAAGCCCTTGGAGGGCCCTAGTTTGGGAAGGCTTGCTTACTTGGTGTGACTAAAACCGGGTTCAACCCTGTGCAATCCTCCACAACTGGCTTGTCCTCATAAGATAAGGTAGATTGTGCTGAGAGTGAGTGAGTGAGTGAGTGACTGGCCCAAAGTCACCCAATGAGCTTCATGGCTGAGTGGGGACTCGAATGTAGATTTCTAACTTCCCCAGTTCAACATTTTCTTTTTATTATTTCAGGGATTTTCTTGTTGCATCCCCACCTTAATAGCCTTTTGGCAGACAAGGCAGCATGTACATGTTAATAGTTAAAAATAGAAAAATGCAAAACAGGATATATCGTAGCATATAAGGGTATGCAGAATTTCATTTTCCATAGTATGAAACATTGTTTGCTTGGGGCAGTATGTACTTGTGTTGCATACTGTAGAGCAGATACTGGCGCAGGATTGGTTCCCCAGTTCCTAGGGCAGAGAAAACTCCTGATTTATGTATCCTGGCTTGAAATTCCTCAAATTCCTTCTTTTAGCAAACAGCCATGGTGGCAAAAGCAATGGACATTTGTAACTGAGCTGAAGGTTCTGAACTTCATAGTGTCTGAGGCCATGCAGCTATTGACCACAAACCAATTCTGTGAGGTTTTGCTGTAGAAAATAGAATCTCAGAATTTAATACCTTTATAATTAAGGCTCTTCGGGGATGTGTTGTAGCCTCAGTTGGAGCTTAGTTTGTGAAATTGTTCATAGTCTGAGAAACTTGGGAGACATTTAATTGATGAAGATTGAATGGGGTAGATCTAACCAATTTGTTTTCTATGCTACTGACAACCAAAGGAAAACATGCAAATTGCTGTGAGTCTCCCTTCAGAACTTTAATATTAGCGTTCAGAGGTTTCAATCCAATCTAAGTTTCTCTGTGCAGACAAGTATAATTCAAAAATTGAAAATTCACCACTGAGCCCCTCTGTTCAGGGACAGTGTCAAATGGTTATGTTTTGAGTGCATGCGTACATATCTGGACATGGGCATGATATAGAAGCCAGGTCCTAATAATGAACCTTCATAATCAGTGGCTGAGGACTCCAGGGACCAAGTGTCACAATTCATTAATGCATTAGGTTTAAAAAATGGAAGTGGAGGAGAACAGAAACAGGAAGGAGAAAGAATTGCTGAAGAGTGGCTGCTTTGCAGTGGAGTTGTTCAATACAGAGGTGCAAACTTTGATCTTAAACTTTGCACCAAAATAGCCTAAATCTGCATCAGACAGAAGCCAAATCCTCTGTCCTCATACTATGGGAATGTACATGTCTTTGCTGATGTTACAATCAAAGATTGCTGCCAAATTATAGGAGGTGCTATGCTGTGTTCTATCGCTTGCCACTAGAAATCAAAAGTTTTCTCTTAAGACTTCATAATTTATCGTGCACATACCTTTTCAGCCTTTTGTTATGGACTAGATACATGCAATCATATGATCTAGAAACTGTTGCAACCATAAGGACTAGGAATTTTAAAAATGAAAGCTTATGTTCTGAAGAGGCTGAATTTTGTGCTCAGATCCAAACTTGCATCCTTTGCACAGAACACATACAACACTACACTGACAAGACTTCAATGGTCCTCTCCTCCTTTTCATGGAACATTTCTAATATTAGAAGGTTTTTAAGTAAATCCTGAAAATTAATCACACATTAAGAATGTGTTACTGTCTACAATTGCTTTAAAAATGTTGATGGTTTAATACTTCAGGAAGTATGCAAACTGTTACAGAGCTGGTGATTTATTGAAGCAGAACAAGTTCTGCCTATGCAAATACTGATCTCAACAGGTTCTCTGAGGCAACTGGAATAACTTGAGAGACAAAGTTACTGTTCAAAACTATGCTGCCATTTCCTGTTTTCTGTCTAAACATTTACACTCTAATCTCTGCTTCTTCTCATAGGGTTTAGTGAACGGGAGTCATATCCTTTGAAAGGACACTGAGCCGTATCCTGTTTTAGTGCCATGTAGAGTAGATGCATTCACATGCATGCAACTTAAGATAATTGTGACTAAATTAGAGCCTATTCTTTTCAGTGAGTCTGTTCCTTGTTGGACTAATATGGGTACTACCCATGTCTTCAGATTTCTGCATTAATTTGTACTTGTTCTAGCCTGATGCTTCTACGTTACAGCTGTGCTGATGATATCGCTCTCCATATTAACCTCTCTGCAGACTCTTACATCTCTTACATCACCATTCAATGTATGTTTTCTTTAGAAGCAAGTCCCACCAAGATCATTTTTTGAGTCAAGGACAGCAGGAACAGGTTGCTGTGTCACCGTCTGCTTGGTAGCTTCAGGAAGCTTAGTTGGGGGGCAGTTAATGAACAGGCTCAATTTAATACTCACATTCTTTAACCAGGAAATAGCAATGGAATTAAACAGCTTCCTTTTGATTTTGTAGCAAGGATTTTTTAAAAATGACTCATTAAACTTTACAAGTGCAATATGGTTCCATGAAAGTGTCTAATACTGCAAGGTTATATTTTTGTAAATGAACAGTTACTTTATCAGATCTCTGTGCAGCAAAATATACCTGTGATACCCCTCGTCCCTCCCCTCCCCTCCCTTCCAGCAACTTATGTCCTAGGACAGTGATGGTGAACCTTTTAGAGACCAAGTGCCCAAACTGCAACCCAAAACCCACTTATTTATCACAAAGTGCCAACATGGCAATAAAACCCCAAAACTTAGGCTTTAGTTTAGAAAAAACACCTCACAGCCCGTCCAAGCAAATCTCTCTCTCTCTCTCTCCCTCTCCCCCCCCCCCCGGCTTGGCAGCACACTGACTGGCCACGTGAAAGATTGGATGAGTCACGGCTAATGAGAAGTGGTGCGTGACATCATCGCCTAGTGCCGCTACTCCTTTCCGCCCATGCACATGGCCTCTATGTGCACTGTAATCTGATGCTCGTCTGATGGGGCAATACTGGGGAGACATGGCTCGCATGTCAAAAGACAGGGCTCTGTGTGCCTGCTGTGGCACGCGTGCCATACATTCACCACCATTGGCATAACCCTACCCTGGTGCACTCCCACAACCCTAAGATAGGGGTAAATTACCATTGAAAGGGGTAATTTTGCAAAAGCCTTCCTCGGGTAGCTTTTTCTGCACAGCTTATCATTTCTGCCCATTCTAAACACATTCCAACCGTCAAAATCATGCCAGGACACCTCATTTCTGTAACCCTAACCCTACCCTGGTGCACACCCTTAACCCTAATACCAGGCTAAAGTTCCATTAAAAATAGGGCGATTTTGAAAAAGCCTTCCTTGAGTAGTTTTTTCTGCACAGCTCATCCTTTCTGCACATTCTAAATACAATCCAACCATCAGAATCATACCAGGACACCACGTTTTTCTAACCCTAACCCAGTGATGGTGAACCTTTTAGAGACCAAGTGCCCAAACTGCAACCCAAAACCCACTTATTTATAAGTAAGCTGGCATTTATTTATTGCAAATTGCCAACATTGTAATAAACCTGAAAACTGTGGTTTTAGTTTAGAAAAAACAACTCACAGCCTGTCGAAGCAAATATATATATATATACTTGGCAGCACACTGACCGGCCATGCGAAAGCTTGAACGAGTTGCGGCTAATGAGTCTTATGATGTCATTGCCTGGCGCTGCTATTCCTTTCCGAGCATGAGCATGGCCACTATGTGCGCTGTCATCTGATGCTTGGCTGCTGGGGCAAGTTGGCTTGCGTGCCAACAGAGAGGGCTCTGTGTGCCCGCTGTGGCACGCGTGCCATAGGTTTGCCACCACTGCCATAGGTGTATCATCGAATATGTCTGTAATGATCTACATTTGTATGAGTATTTTCCTTTAAAGATTGGTAAGTTTCAGAAGTGCACCTCGTTTTTCCAACCCTAACCCTACCCTGCTGCACACCCCTAACCCTAATATAGGACGAAAGTTACATTGAAAAGAGGGTGATTTTGAAAAAGCCTTCCTTGAGCTACTTCTTCTGCACAGCTCAACATTTCTGCTCATTCTAAACACATTCCAACCATCAAAATCATGCCAGGATGCCTCATTTTTGTAACCCTAACCCTACCCTGGTGCACACCCCTAACCCTAACAGAGGGGTAAAATACCATTGAAAATTATGCGATTTTGAAAAGGCCTTTCTTGAGCAGCCATTTCTGCACAGCTCAACATTTCTGCTCATTCTAAACACATTCCAACCATCAAAATCATAGACTCCTCATTTTTCTAACCCTAACGAACCTTATTCAAAACCCACTTATTTATTGCAAAGTGCCAGCACTGCAATAAAACCTGAAAACTGAAGTTTTAGATTAGAAAAAACTCAGTGAGTCCAAGAATCAATCTCTCTCTCTCCCCCCCCCCTCCTTAGCAGCACACTGACCAGAAATGTGAAAGCTCAGATGAGTTGTGGCTACTGAGTCGTGGCTTGTGACATCATCTCCTGGCACCGCTACTCCTTTCCAAGCATGCGCATGGCCCATATGTACGCTGTTATCCGATGGTTGGCCTCTGGGGCAATTCTGGGGTGACTTGGCTTGCGTGCTAACAGAGAGGGGCTCTGCGTACCCACTGTGGCACACGTGCCATTGGTTCACCACCACTGTCCTAGGGTAATAATAAAATATATTTAAAACTGATTCAGTGTTCCAGCAACAAAGGCATCTCCAAATATTCTCCATAACTTAACCTCTTGCCCCCTGCTGTCCTGATGGCTTACCTGCATTACTCAGATCACTTGATGGTTTAACAGTGCAACAGGATGCTATGACAGACAGTGATTCTGTGAGGGGAGAGAAGACTTAATCTTTTGGAAATTTGCCCTGTATCAAATTGTGACATGCTGCTGGAGCTTAGCTAGGCAGACTATTCTTTGGTCCTGGTGAGTTATATAGTTTCACTTGAAGAAATTCCTCATTTGGAAGGCTGTGTTTATATGCAAAGTCAGTATCCTTGTATTAGTGGTGCCTCTTTTTAATGTATGCCTGCTCTTTCATTATGGGGCACTAAGGATAATAATTTGGCTTGGGCTTAAGTCTTGGGTTTATGGATACACAGTGATGGGGAGGGTGAAGTAAATGCAGGGTAGGCAGAACCTAAATACAGATAACCTAATATGTTTAAAGTTAATTGTTTAATCCAGACATGGCCATATGTAGCAGAAACCTATTATAATCAATTACACTTAAGTTAAGCCTCATTGATTTCAGTAGGTATGCTCTAAGTCTGGATGCAACCACTGAATTCTCTTAAACATTGCTTTAAATGTAAGTGCCTAATGCTGGTAATTTATCTCTGTGCATTGATTGCTTAGAACTGGAAGATGGAAGACAATTTACTTCTCTCTCTGAGCAGTATCAGTTTAGTAGGACACGGCATACCTTCATTTCTTAATGTTGCCACAATAAGGTTAGAGACTTTAAAAGACAGCGTACTTTGTTCTGATCAATACCAGCTCTTTTTAAAACAGATTTGTCATTAAGCAAACAACCAAGCACCTATTCCTTTCATTTGAATGCTTTAGAGAAGACTAAAATTCCTATAGCTGTTTATAATATGAGATACAGTAGGGGACTGATTTCAATGAGAGTTTGGAAAACAGTGCTTGGCCTTGTATCTTAACTTGTTTTGCATCTTTAGGCGTCAATAGCAATAGAAAGGATTCACAAGACAAAAGCTGTTGTAGGAAGTTCATTGCTCCTGCAAGTTATCGCTGAACACAAAGAAACTACAGCCACTTCTGTTGAATGGCATATGGTCTGATGGGTTCAGACTTTCAGCTTTGGTACAAATCTTCAACAGTATTACAGTTCTTGAACATAGTTTCTGGTTACAGTTAGGAATTTCTTCATGTTGGTAGACCACTCAAAACTTCTGAAGCCACACGTTATTACTTTGAACCAACTTCCCCTGACTTCCTGCAATAAGACCTCCTTCAGCAATTGTGCATAGAGGCAAAGTTGTATGTAGCACATAAATGGAAGCCTTAAACAGCAGTAGATTGATATCATTTCAGAGGCTATGATTATGGACCAAGTTACTCAGCCAGTGCTGCAAGCAAGCGACCTTAATTTAAAAAAAAATATTGTGCATCATGATCTGCACTTTATTTCTGATGTGGAAGCACTTTAAACTTCTCATTAGTACAGAAGCCTGATTTTTTTCCCTGACTAGCTTAAATGCCTATTTTTTTTCAGTGCCAGGAATCTGTAACTTGGCATTGTCCAGGTGTTTAGGACCCCAAGTACTGTTGGCTATAGCTGGCATGGCCACTGTTCAGAGATAAAGGAAGTCGTAGTCCAAAATATCTGGAGGGCATTGGGTTGCTTATCCCAAGATGAGATAGTGAGCTTTATCACAGGTAGTTGTATACTATTTGTGCCACAGGCATTCCATAGTACACTACGATTACAGCTGCTGTTTTTCCTTATTGTATTTCTATACTCTGTAAGTTTCTTGAATACCCGCATTTTTAAACTTTATTGCAAAACATATGGAGTGGAAACAGTGGAAAATTCAGGAAAGGCATCTCATGGATCCCTGTGGTGGCTAGCCTTTCCCTGTGTTCTCCTCTGGCGTTAGTCATGAACGATTGGCCTGATTTGAACTCCTTGTAGTCTTTGTGGTAAAACTGACATAGAAGAGTTGGCACTGGGAGTCAAGTTAGCTTTAGTAAGTGTAAAGTCACTTGGATGATTTGTTTTACTTTCAAGCCAGTAAAAATTCTTAACCTGCTGACATTTCTTCTAAGTGGTAACTATCATGAAATCATTTTCTCTGGGGCTGAAAAGAATGCTGTACTTCACAGGAGCTACTGTGTGCTAAAGAACAATTTAGGCACACATGGGTTTTTTTTGTTCCTTGGGATTTTTGTTTTTGGCTGTTTTTGAATGCAGAAGCTTGAATTAACTCTGACAGCATGTACTTAGCTATGTCGTTATACCTTTTAAACTAAGTGATGAAAATTCACAGTCATAAGGCAAAGTGGACCCTTTAGAGATTTGGTTGCAAGTGCTAGATGTGGTACAGTTTCTAATTTAAAAAAAAACTTGTCAAAGAGCATGCTACAGCACTACCAGAGCGTAATTCTACTGCTGAAGGGTTTTCTAGATGGACAGATGAATTGGCCTTCCTGTAAAGTCACATGGTATTTCCTATCTCAAACATGGTTATCAAGGTCCTAACAGCCACAATGCTTGTGGTGGCTGACAACTTTTGTATTAGGGACCAGCAGTGGCGTAAGATTGCATGGTCTCTCCCTTCGTCAACCAGAACTGGGATGGAAAGGACGTCTCCTGGCTTTCAGCATACAAGCTTAGCACCCATGTTATCCTACCATAGCCTCTCACCCATCTGAAAAGCTGTTCCCAGAGGCTGGTAGATGCCCCAGAAAGGTACTTCATTAGTCATGAAGGACTGTGGGAAGGAAAGCACATTGGTGCGTTCTCAGTGGGATGGGAAATGTTTTATATCGCTCTGTGAGTATGCTGGGATCCCAGCCTATGATTTGAAAGTAGGGCTGTAGGTTCCTAGTTAATAGCAAAACCTAGTTAACATCTAACAAGTTTGACGCAAGCTTTAACCATCATTAAAACCAGCAGGGGGAACTCATGTGTGGGATGGGAAGGCTTCTGTGGCCAGCTCTTGTAGGGATCAGGAATATAAAAATCCTATATACTTAGTAATCATTTCAAGTGGCTAGTACCCACCATAATCATTGGCCATTTTGCCTGA